GATGTGTGTCTTTTTCATGTTTAGAAAAGAATCATAAGTCTATTCTGCGTATTCCAATGTTGGCTTTCAAAAATTTATATGGGTACTATCATGCAGCTAAATGGCTGTGTGCTAGTACATTTATCATCTTATACAACTTTAGTAATTATTGTCACTCATAAACGACAGTTTTGTTAAAATTCTACAGTGAATGTCATAAAACAAATTTTAAAATGTTATTCAAAAAACAATCAAACATAGAAGCAGTTGAGATTAATAAAAATAAATGGGTTCAGTTGTTAAAGGCAGTAGCTTAAACATTTTAAATTGTATCATGCTTGCCAAAAAATAACAACTAAGCGTATGAGATGTCAAGATGTGGCAGCATACTTTGAGTTACTTGATTGTTTCACATAATTAACTTAGTTTTGTTCTCAACCTTGTATTTGTTTTATGGCTTCTACTTCAAATTTAAGAAATGTTTGTGCTAAAATTCCATCTTTTTCACCTCTACCAATCACTTGAAAGATATTTACCTCTTCCTACTTTTGATGATAATGCCATCCTGTTCTTGTGATTGCACTAGTCGCATCAGTACAACATATTCAGTTAAGTTATTCCAAATCACAAATTCGAATTCCTTTCACTCAGTTTTATATTTTGTCACCAATATTTGTCTATACTGAATGCAAAAGAAGTTTTCAGTGTGCTCTGGTTTTTGCCACCTCCTGTTTTCCAGGTGGCTTCATGGAATAGTTTAAAAGCAGGGTGCTGCATAATGACGCCGAGATTATTAGAATCCATTTAAAAATACTGTTAATTTCTTGTGATCTGGTTTATCTTTTTAATTATTATACTGCAATTGAATAATGAAGAAGGCAAGCCCAGCCTTAAAAAATATATTATGTATCAGTCATTCAGTGACAATATTTATTCAGTTATGATTTGTACAATGTTGTTGACATGGAAATATATACAAACAGTATATATAAGCTTCAGTTATATATACAAATATGAAAAAATCTTGTATGTGAGTCAGACTGAAAAAAAAATAATCACTCCCAGAAAAACAATGAATGTTCTTGAAATCTTTGTAAGAAATTTATAAAAATATTTACCTTGCTCAGCTGTTGGAAGTGGATTTTAGTTCATTGCCATAGATGAGGCAATAGCTTCAAAGGCAGCAAAGACTCTCTGGAAGTATAAAGGACACATTCAGCCTTGATGCAATGTAAAACAATATTATGGACTCTTTAGGTAGTAAGAGCTACGGGTGAGGACTCTTGTTTTCTGTATCCTTCTTCTTTCCTCTTTCTTTGGTACATTGTTTACAGCAGAGTCCAAGAGGTGAGGGTGATTTCTGTTCTCATTGTTTCTGTAATCTGGGTTATTCAGGGATGTTTCTTTGCATTGTTCTTAAGAGCAGTGTGTACTTGTTTCCATCTATTTCTGTCACAGTTTCCTCAAATGTCTTCAGGGGGTGGAGTGGTTTAAAAGTGCTGTTGGGCTCCAGAGCAGGTGGAGGATTTCAGTCTACTGTCCTGGGCATGGAGGATTGGGAGCGAATAACAATTTACTGTTAAATTATTGGGTAACCAATACACAGCCACTAGAGGTTACTGAAATCATAACCAGACTTCTGGGAGTATAACGGACTTGTACAGGGTTTGGTGCAGCTGGGATTGGGAAAGGATGATAAAGTTAGTGGCACAGTGCCTGAGCTTTTTATGCATTAACATGTCTCCTTATGTGATACAGGGATGTGGCATCCCTGTATCTGTATTGCAGTATTCACTTAACGCTGTTTCAGTAAACCCTCGGATGAATAGCTCTGTGCAAAGGTAGTCTAGGGCCACTGGAGTATCCTGGGAGAAGGAGAACTTGCCTGTTCACTTTCTCCACTGTCTATATATTGGGGACTAGCTCTTCCAGAGGCTCCAGGAGCTTGGGAAACTTTACTGTTGACATGGTACAAAAGCAGGGCAGTTTTGTCTCTTACAACAAGATGGTTAAATTGGGATTTTGTTACCGTGAGAATTAATGATGAGAATCTGTGAACTGTCCAAAGAGTTTAACTGGCAGCATGCTCCAAAACAAAATTCTTGTAAACTATTGAATTGCAAGATATGAGTAGTTCATATTTTCATATAGTAGTTAATATTTTTGTGATGATTAGTATTTTATATTTTTGTTGTTGTTATTACTGAGAAACTGTGTGGTTCCTGCAGTACATACCACTCTATAATCAGGATTGTCGGGAGGGCACCTCTTATGTGTGACAAAGAAAGGATCTTTCTGTTCATTCATAGCACCTTTCTGTGTCAGCAGGGTTGTTTTTAACAACATTGCCATTAAGGAGAGAATAACAGAGAAGTTTATAAGACCTCTCCAGAAATCTGTGGAATTTGTTTATTTAGGACCTCCATAATTGTTCTTTCTTTTTGCTCCAGATTGAGGATCATGAAGTCCCATGTTTGAGAAAATAATCAGTATCTTATCTAAATTAAAATCTAAATTAAATCTATGTGCCTTTCGATCTTTTCTTTTTCTGTGTCTGTTTTATTGTTGGGCTGAATTCACTCTTGTTTCAAATAAGGTGCAGAAACGTTAAAATCTCCAAAAGAATCAGTCAGAACAAAGCTATCACATTCAAAGGAAGAATGAGAAGAAATAGGAAGAGCAGGCTGGAGTATCACTTTAGTCTACCCTCATCATTTTCCTTCCTTTTTACTAGAGACATGACATGATGAGAATGCTGGGTACTACTACTGCTGTAGGTTTTAAACAGGCGAAGTAAAATAGGTAGATGTTGTCTACGTTTGCCAAGATATTTAATTTAAATGTTTCTATATACTTGTAATGATCACCTGGGAAAAAAACATGACATTCCTCTTTATACTGGCATCTGCCTTTCAAATTCAGTAAGTATGGTCTGAACATAAAGTATTTCTGAAAAAAAAAAAAAAAGGGTGGTAAACACCATCTGTCTTCCAAACTCCAGACTTCATCTAACAAATGAAATGTAAAAGAAAAATGTTAGCAACACTTCTTGTATCAAAATGCTGTATTAACAGGACTCTAACTGTGTCTGTGTATGTCACTCCCATGGATCATTCCCATCCCATGCAAGTCAGAAACAGCTGGCACACTCATGTCCTCATGTTGGTCCTAGGACCCATACCCCGAGACCTCACATCCCATGGGTGAGGCATGGAGAGGCCCTTCAGGCAGCCACTGTCCTCTCAAGGTGCATATTGCTGCTTTGGGAATTCAAAGTTCAACATTATCTGCTTTTCTCTGTCTATCCTTGCCTAAAGGACCTTGTATATCTCCTTGGAAAAGTATTATGAAAAATCCACGCTGTTTTAGTGCCTAGCAGGGAACATATTTGTATTCAGTTTACAGTCAGGAGTAGGTTATGGTAAAGATTATTTAATACTACCAGAAGCAGAATGCTATAGTATGTCTAATTAAAAACAAAGTGTACCAGCTTCAGCTGGTTCAAAGGCAGAAAGTATTTTAATATTCTGTATGTCACACTATGTAATGCAAAAATATACTGTTGCTGCTAACTTTGGTTTGATCAAATGTTCTTCTTATTAGAAACAAATGTTCAGGAGGTCTGGAAAGTTTGGTGTGGTTTTTTTTTTGTTTTTTTTTTTTTTTTTT